GACAGCTGTGCCTTTATGTCTTACTGTCACGGCTATTTCCTATGGTTCATTCCTCAATGGATCTGCATGTATTTCATTGCAGACAGATCCCGATGGGTAAAAACCCCTTCAGGTGTACAACTGGAGACAGCCTGAACTGTAGCAATGATTGTTCAACCAGATCCTCTGTCAGCAAAACAGGCATTTGAACTAGTTTTAGTGGGAATTAGAGGCTCCAGCAGCCTCAAATGGAAACCACAATAACGAGGAGGCAACAACCCTTTTCACATAAGCAGTCATTTCTTCTGCTTTGTAACCAAGCAGGAGAATAATGGGCAGCATGGAAGAAGAGAAGATGGGGCAGGATTGAAGTAGTTTCCTGTGGAGCATCTCCAGGAACATCATTAAAGAGCAAGCCCCTTGTAGATGAATGAGGAACAGCCACCAACCTCAACCGCTGCCTCCATGAACTGAAAGGTATCAGGATGGCTGCAGTGTCTGAAGATGAAATGGTGGAGACAGTGTAAGGGAGGACTGGAGTTTCTTTTTGCTTGACCTCAGTTGCCTACTTAAAGAGTAATTGAATACTCGTCAGAGGGTATTTGAGTGCATTTTTCAGAAACTGTGCCTGACCAGTATGAAGAATAAGGAGATAACTTGATCTGGCTTTATTCCCTTGGGTCAAGAAACTCGGTGTCTATGTGTGCCTACTGGGCCCATGCACTTGTTTCTTTTTCTGGGTCCTTGGAGTCAAAATCAAAACCAGGCCCGGCTGTTTCTTATAATTAAATTTCAGTAACTCAAGCTGGGTGTTTTTATTTTGACTAGTGACTTAAAAGTGTTGGCATTTAAATGGCCTCAGCTATATTTCAAAGTTAACATTGAGAAACTTCACACATATATTAGCGTTATTTGTCTGTTGGCAAACTCAACAAAATACCACTGCGTTGATTTACATAGTGAAGGTTATCTTTCCTAACAGAAGGACTCGGAATTTCATTATTTAAAATATGAGGATGAATCTCATCAGAGTGCAGGAGGCTAAAGATGGCATTACATACAACTTGCCACCTGAGTCAAGGGCAGAGGTGAAGTTTATATTGTGCACTGAGCCCTGCGTTCCCATATACCTAGAAGATCCAAAAGCCAAAACCCACACAACGTTATCTGTGGCCAGGACAGATCTGACTGTAGGATGAGGACTTTTCCTTTCTGGTAGTTAGGTTTCTTTCTATGTGTCTGTCTTCTTTCTCTAATTTATTTATAAGTCATTGATGACATTTATGCCATACATGGGCAGTTTGTGATGCAATAAACCAGTAACAGGCTCAGTTTTCATTGCACTTTCTATATTTGGGTATTTCAGTACATCAAAATCTGGATATAAGAAGTATTAACAGTCTTACGCCAGCAGAAAGAAATTAATTTTATGCGTGCCTTTGCACAGAAGCCAAAAGCTTCAGGAAATAGGATCTCTTTCCCATAAGCGTCTTTTCAGATCCAGTTAGGAGAGGGGAAGGCAAACAACGAAATGCAAGCTTCAGGGTGACAGCACAGCAGTGGGATATGATCGTTCATGTGGTAATATGTATGGTTCACAATACATTTCTGATTGGCACTCCCAAGACTCCAGTACTTATTGATGATTCAGGTAGAACCTGGTTCCTGCTTTCATCAAGCCTTGTCCTGTGTCCTGTGGGAGCCCGGCTGTGGCATGTAACTGGGTGCAGCCCGGCTGGGCAGAGAGGAAGAGTAACTATCGAAAGTCTGAGTACCTCTTGTTCTGACACAAATCCTGGGAATCAGCGTGCACAGCCTGAAGAAAGCAGCAGCTCCAGTGTCTTCTGCATGCCCCACCAGCAATGATGTAAAGCACCGGGTCCGTGACAAGGAGCAGTATTAGGAAGCTGGCTTTACTTTCTTGCTGCAGCTATTCCTAACCCAAGACTGAAGCCCCAGAGAGAAGCATGGGGAACGCTTACTGAACCTGCCCAGGAGAATCAGGTGATCCCTGTGGGAAGTCAAGTGAAGACATCAGAGCTAGACCTGGCATGTCCTGGGTGAATGTTTTCCTGACCACTGGCAGCAGTACTACTGCTGAGTAAGAAACAGAGTTAGAAACAAGTGAGCACAACAGAAGAAAACAAACAAGGGAGGAGAAAAGCATCTTCTTGCCAAGACAAAGAGGGATGCAGTGAATGATGATTACTGATGAATAATAACCCAGAATTAATGGAGAAGGGCAGCAGCAAAAGCTGTGCATAGAACACAAACATTTTATAATGAGGGTAAATAGTGACATTAGTAGGGTGGCCAGAACTCACCGCCCATTCACATAGCACTTGTCTGCATTACATGACATAGGTGATGGCAGTGGCTAGGGCTAGAATATTAACCTTGGAGGCTCTGCAATTTCATCAGAAGAGCCTTTCCAGAACAGGAAAGCTGTTCCAAAGCTGAACGAAGGGACTAGGTTTTGCTCTTGTTATTATCGGTGTTTTAAATTTAAATCAGTCTCAGATACGTAGCCCTATTTGGGAAGAATGTTGAGCTACGGAGGCTCGAGGGCAGCTGCCAACTTAAGCACAACTAAATTCAGCCAGAATTGTCAAGCAGAAGTGGAAGCAATAGCACACTGTATTAGATACCAGGATTATAAAATCTCTGCCCATCAAAGAGATCAGAAGAATGTAGATAGCTCTATATTATTATTTTTAATGCAGTAAAGCCTAGAGGCTCCAAACAATTACCAGGCTCCACTGGGCACAAGGAGGCACCACAAAATAAAAACATGGAAACAGATCAAACCCTACCCCGAGCCCTTCTGGGAACACGGAAAGGCTTATTGACATTTTATCTTGCTATCAGTTCAGTGAATGTAGGCAAACCTCGCCTACCACACTGATTAAGGCAATCCTCTCCCTACCTCACTTCTTGAGAGAGCCTGACTACAGAGAGGGTCTGGGACTGATTTTACAAAATCTCTAGCACTGCCTTTTGATCTCAGGGGACCTATGCACGCTTAGCGCATTCCAAGATTAGGGCACCTTGCCCAGTACTGAAATAGGGAGGGAAAAAGCTGTCCTTGCAGGGCTCTGGCTTTCCCACACTGCTGTGCAACCCTGTTCTCCCTCAGCTCAGTGCTTCTCTTCCTCGAGTTTCTTCACCCTCCAGCCTCCCTCTTGCTCTCCTTCCTTGACCTGCATCCTCTCAGGTGTGCCAGTCCCCCTTGCTCACGGATTATCAACGGGGTGCTGAGGCTTTTAACTCTGCCCAGCAGCTCGATGTCCCAGGCGGAACAATGCAGTGCCTATCCCTGCGTGATGCTGAGCATGGCCCAGGAAGGGCAGGGGCACAGGGGTACTGTTTGCCTTCCCACCACAGAGGAAAGCAGCCAGGACAAGGCACCTCAGCGGGGAGTGCTGAGAGTTTGCAGGGAGCTCAGGCAGGTAGCAGCATGTGCAGATGTGTACAAACATGCCTGCAGACTTAAACCTCCTCTTTACTGGCTTTGTCGTGGCATCTTTGGGAGATTTACTCGAGCGCTGGAGCTCAGCCATTTCACTGAGCTTGGAATTACCCTGACCCAGCAAAAAGCAAGCTCACGCCTCCCTTTGTGTGCAAAACTTTCCTGCGGTTGCAGAGAACAAACGCCAGCAGGAGCTGCGGGAGCTGGGGAAATTGTGCGCTCCCGGTGCACCTCTTGCCCCTCGAGCACTGAAGGATCCCGCAGGGCTGTGCAATCACAGATGTGCGTTTCCAAGCACACCAGAAAAAAAGAAAAAAGAAGAAAG